AGAGAGAGAGAGAGAAAATTAAAGTCGTTTTTTTAAAGTCTGTTGTGACTTTTATTATAGATCTGTTTAAATTGACACGCAGTTGCCATCTTTTAGTCGCGATTGAAACCTGTTTTACCAGTATGATGCTTAACTTCAGTAAGAAACTATTAAAGATATTTCAATCATGAATATATCTGTATGTTTGATTAATAAAATAGATTCAAAAATTTAAATTTTTCCATAATCCATTGTTGTCGATTAAATCGTTAATAATAAAACATAAGATGGATGAATTAATAGTGTAAGTTTAAAAATATACCAGATACTAACTTAAAATGTGTTATATTGAATTTAAAATAGTTATAAAACAAAATGTAATAACTATAATATAAAAATATAAGGAATATGATTGCAAAGAGCGCTATTTCTAAAATATGAAATTAATAAGTTTGGAAAATATATTCAAAAGTATTGGAAAATATAATTTTTAAATATAAAATTAAAAAATATAAAAATATAAAGACTTATAGCATTGTTTATTAAATTTAACATAAAATCAATAATATTTATTTAAGAATGTCTTATTTGTGATTTACTAATAAGGTTTTTCTCTAAGATTGAAATAGTCTTTAATATCCCTCCGTCAGATGTCGACAAAAGATATATCTTCCTTGTTGAAGCATATTATCCAGTTGATAATTCTTATCCTGTATTTCCTAACTTATCATATTCTGAAAATATAGTTTTTGTAATTTTCTAACTTTCCCATATAAATATAAAATGTTATAAATAATTAAAAGCTTTATTGCTATTAGTATATATTTTTATTATTACAATAATATAATTTTAGAAAACAACTTTGTAAATGACTTTTGCTTAACTGATTGTTGAAAGTTGTACATATATTGTATTACAATGACAATTGAAAACTTTCTTAACTCATAAAAATTTTTAAAAATATGATCAAGATTGTTAATACAAAGGAAGTATAAGAATATTATGAAAAAGAAAGATTACTGATATAGCAAAATTGATAGACGATATAAGTTACAAACAGAGAATATAAATTTAGATTAGTAAATAATGCTGGGTTTTTAAGTTTCATGTCGTGTATTGTGAAAAAATAAAAATATGTATTCAGTAAAAATAAAGTAAAAATTTCCATAGAATGTGGAATTTCATGAAGAGAATTTTAAAGAAATCGGCTGCTACGTTCGATGAAGAGAACAATTCCTGGCATAATGCCGGAGTGAACCTTTCGAGCAAAGTCAACGTGCACAAGCTTTCACCAGAACGAGCTATACCTTCGAGCTATGATCGAGTCTCTTCGTCGCTCTTTTCGAGATCGGTTCTTGTGTTCTTCGCTCGTTCTCCTCCCGCTCCCCTTTAATCCGCTCCTCTCTCACACACTTTCCACTTCGCGACCGAAACGAAACCGACCCGCTTCCATGGCATCGATAAATGGAAATCATGTTGTTGTCACGAGTGATTTCGTATCGTTATTGATCGCCTGCGCTATTGTCTCCTAGATCACGTACAGCTTTGTTGAGAATCCTGTCATTTAGCACCTATAATTACGTACTCCGCCTTGACCTCCTCTTATGTAGATCCATTTACAAGGCGTTTAAAATTACATGTTTGATGAAAATTACATGATGAAACGCGAAATAAGACGTTGAGGAAAATAAAATCAGGCAACATATTGATCAATCTTTTCATGTAGTTATAAAAATCTAAAAAATGATTCTGATATTTAACTCTTTTTTTTATAAATAAATTATAGACGTACAAAGAAGAGGAAACATATGTTTTTTTAAAGAAAATAAAGTTTATAGCTGAACAAAAAATAATATTGTTAGATTGTATCAAATTAAATTAAATTTCAAATAAAAAAAAGCAAACTTACATATATTTATCCTATTACATTCATATATTTTTCAGGAAGAAATAAATAAATATATAAGGCTTTCATTTAAGATTGCACAACATATGGCTGCAAAATCTTTACCAGCTGATTGCACAGACAAAATAATTATCCGCTTTATAAATATATCATACTCTAGCCATTTAAACTATAGTTAGCCTCCTTCCTCGCCACGAGGAAGAAGACAGAGACGTAGTCATTCGCAAGTGGGAGAGGGAGAGGGAGAGAAAAAGAGAGAGGCTCGCCGGCGGTAGCTCGATGGTCAGAGAAGGAGAAGGAAGGCTAGCCAGGATGGTGGTGATCGGCTTCGGATGCACGAGTCCATGGCACGAGTAGCCGGCGCAGAGCCAGTCACCAATTCAGCCAGTCGGTTGTAGTCAGTCGGTACCAGAAGAGCAGCTCCGTTCGCGGGGCCGCGCTCTCTCGCGCCTCGGTGCACAGAAACAGATTTGACTGATTTTTACATCTGTTTGCCGGAAATCTCGACACGGCACCTTAGCTTACATTCCGCGACGAGATTCGCGACCGTCTGTGTGACTTAAGGGGTCTTCGGAGTGGCCGGAGTAGCGCGCGAACTTAACAGTAAGTGCGCGGAGTGTCTCGATATCGAGTGCTGAATGAAGACGCTCTTCTCTGGTATATATGTGATAAAGTGTCGGCTACATTGCGAGGGTTTGAGAGAGGTATTCGAGTGGGTCCTTATTGGCGCGAAACGATATTCTAGAAGAAGCTGCAGAAACCTGGCTACGGATGGTTAACGTGAGTATCGTGTCAAGTGGATGATACATGCGACAATGTAGTAGGCTTATTGATATATTCATCTGTTAAATTAACTCTTAGGGAGATATATTTAGGAAGATATAGGTAGATAACGGCATATTAACTTTTGTTGTATTTTCCTAGCATATTGTTAATATTAATGTAACAATAGTGAATAAAACTAGAAACTAATTTGATTAAGATTAAAAAATAAATATACACATGATTGTAGTATATATTATATATTCAATGTAATCTTTAACTCTGTTGAAAACGATTATAAACAATTTGTATAAAAAATTAGAGTTTATTTAAATTATTTTTTTATAAAAATTAATTGTATAATAAAATAGATATATATATATATATATCTATACACACACAGGTACTATTTAGGATTTTTAAATTATTTTTTTATTTTGAATTAATGGCTTAAAAATATCATCTTCTATCTTACTGACTGGTGATTATCTAGGTTTTTTTATTTCGAAAATCCACATTTCTCTTTCCTTATACGTAAATGTAGTTTCAACTTTTCTTACGAAAGGCTTTTTCATCTGCCCACATATCTTGGTTTCAACGATGGTTTACTATGGAATTTCTAGCAAGGTGTGGCACATTATGTGACCAGAATGATTTCTTTGCGTGAAAGTTATACCGCACTATTTGCACCGAATCCATCTAGTGAAATGGAAACTATTGGACCCGCGTGGCATGCAAACACGTACAATGGTAATTTGAGTGTAAAGACAAATATTAACATAGTAGAAACAAGTAGTTTTCACCTTACTTTCGAGCACAAAATCTTGATGTCATATAATTAATTTTATTTTTGCCATAATCTTTTAGAGACTTAATATTTTTTGTTAAATGATATACATAAGAAAATATTTTATATAAAATCAGATGATTAATTAAATAAAACATAATTATTTGTCAGTAACTTCAAAATTAAATTATATATTATTTCTTATAAAAAGATAATGAGTTTATAATAGATCAGGAAGCATTTCTTATGTAGCAAATTATTTGTGATATTAACGAAAGGAAGGTTAAAATATGCGATATTTTATATATTTAAATTAAAGATATAATAGAACATTGTCTATCGAAATATTTTCCTGAACTCGTTACGCTTCGTAGAGCGAGTATATTTTTTATAATACTAAACACGCACACTATATATTTGCTCCATCCATCATAATTTCTCTGTTATATACATATATATTAAAATATAAAAACATAGCTTGTATTTGAAAAACCAGTAAAAAAAAGAACGAAACAGATCAAATTATAATAATAATTAAATCAATAAATCAAACGATTTTAGAAGATATTTGAAGATATTTTTGTCTACATGCGTTTATTTCTTTATTTATTAGCAATTTATTTATTAGCAACTTATCATTAGATTTTTAGCAATAATATTTACTTTACCACTATCTAATTTACTCGTATATTAAAATATAAAAATGTGTTTTCTTATTGATTTAATAAGTGACTATTAGAAAAGCAAGGTATCCCGTGAATACTTCCCAGTCTTTGTTTCACTAATTGCGTATAAAACTCAGTAATTTTAGCACATAACATAGATTACTGTAATATTGCCAGTGAACGCAGGACACTGCTGTTGTGAAAGAATCCATACGGCCATGAAACATTTTTACTTTCGAATGCGTCACCCGTAAAACGCAAATCTCTACCTACGTATATTCAAATTCTATTTCAAAGTTTATTAGCTTAGGTCAGTCATCCTAACCTTATAAGCGAATGTTCGTGTGATGTATATCTGGTTGTAATACTTTTTCTATTCAAAAATATTATGCCACAGAAAAGAGAAGGTGATTAAGATAATTGTTTTTTTGTAATGTACAATGTTGAGATAATTTTCGATGTTATTTACGAAACTCTATTTAATATTAAATCTCCTCTCTCTAAAGAAACAAAATAAAAAAAAATACATTATACATTAATACATCTACATTTTTAAAACAATGTTTGCGTCTCTTATATGCAATGTTTTTGTGTTTCGCTCGATGAATTTCCCCATGTATAATTATTGTATCAGACTGAATCAATTACACATTATCCCCACCAATCAACACATTGACGTCACGAATTTGTACCGGAGCCGTTCGTTGCACTTTCGCGGCAATAAAATCCGCACGGGAAGATAAGTACGACTGTTAAACTAAGAAACGAAGAGAGGGAATATGACCTGTTCACCTGTTCCTTCGCGTTCTCGACATGGTCGAGGAACTTCCAAGTCGACCGGCGTGTTTCTACCTCTTCGGCGCTGCGAGATTCTCTGCCTCCTGCGAAACCGGGTCTTCTTCTCTTCGCGACCTCGAAACACACAAATTATGTGAACGGCGCGGATGTTGCACGTACGAGAGAATATCGATAGAGACCGCTGTCCAATACTAATGTATATCAACACACATGTATGCGTGCATATTTTATACATTCGTAGCAAAACCACAAAATTGTCAAAGAGAAGTTACACTCGAAGCATCTTTAGAAAAAATTGTGTCCTCATTGTCGCTTAGAATTTATCACTCCCAGACCAGCTCTTTTGCGTTTTCCGTAAGCTAAAGTGTGAGAGAAGGTTCTGCGTTGCCTCGAGATTTATTAATCCTCCGTGCATTAGCCAGCCATGTATTACCAGATGGAACACATGCGGTCTTTGTACGTGTTGGACTACGGAACTCGAGTTTAACATTCTCCGTGTAGGTGCTGCGGTTTTCTTGGTCAGTCGTAATAGTATTAGTAGATAATTATCGTGAAAAGTTATTGTACATGTTTGTAAATGCTCTGAATTTGTACCGTCCCTTACAATACAGATAATTGTGTTTTAAATTGTAGAAATGTGTGGAATTTCCAGATCTTGAGTTTATAATCACTGTAAATATTCTTGGATAATGAAAATAATTTGGTGTGAATATCGCTTAATGTAAAGAACAGAAGAAGATGGAATTTCAATTCGAGCTGAAGAATGAAGTAAAGAAGAATATGATAAACTCGAGGTGAATTCAAGGATGTTTTGGCTTTTCCATTCAATGGAAAATTCTAAAAACAATAGTCAGGTTTTGAGATAATATTTTGTTGAATTAAATTGTCTAAATCTCATTCCTAATTGTATAAAACAATGTCATAATAGTGTTACTTTATTTCAAAAAAGAGAAAACACAGCTTAAATTTTCTAATGTATAAATATCCATTTAATATAAACATATTTTTTAGCAGCATCATTTTAAGAAAACCGATTAATGCATGTAATTAATTTTGCCGAATGATTTTATATAATGATAACTTTATTCATCTCGTCATATATAATAAGCGAGAAATTAATGCAAGATTTGTACAAAAAATTATAGATAACACTTTAATAGCTGTCGAATTTTTGTTTTATTACTAAAACACAATGAATCAATTTAGATAGATCGATAAATTCGTTAACTTGCGGAAATTATTAGTCATCGACGTCGTTCAAGGAAAAGTTTGTTTCTTAGAATATGAGGAGATTGTTCAGGGTCGAAAGATCAATTGTAAACTTGAACGAAGCTTTACAATTCAGGAACTGCGATGTGGAATCCGAACGCGATCGTGAAGAAAGCGGCAACCCAACTAGGAGCATCAGAAAAACGGCTAAGTGATCCTTTGCCAAGGAAACTCGACTCGTTGGGCGAGTCCCCGTAAATCAGTATCCGTTCGAGATGAAATTAGTGTCAGCTAAAGAATACTATGATGCTGGGATAGATTCGAGTGTTGGCGAAATGGAATTAAGCAGCACGTGTTTCAAAGAAAACGACGATTTATGACTTCTTATCAATACTACGATGGAGTTTGCACTACTTAACGTAATTTATTTCTCATAAATAACTGTTTTATCGTTTGCATTTGATTCACCCAACCATTTCAAGTAAAAGTTGCGGAAATGTGCGAAAAAAAGAGAACCTGAACTAATTTAGTTTTAAGATTTACGGAAAAATGTCAGATAATTTAAATTCATAAAATGTTGATGCAAGAATATTAATAATTTATATATTATTTGTATATTAATAAGTTATATATTTTTAATAGCATTTTTTATGAAAAGATACTTTAATTTTTACTTCTAATCAAAAAGTGATAATAAAATTAAAAAATCTCTTTATATGTATATATCTAGAATTAATTTTACTTTATATAAGAATAAAATTTTTAATAAAATTTTATATTTCTATAATATATAAATTATTATAATTTATTTATTTCTTTGAACTATATTTTATTTATTTCATTATTTATTTCTAAAATTAAATTATACTAATAATTATGTCTTTATTTAGAATATTTATTCAAAACTATATTGAGAGCAAAATCATCTAAAAATTTTAAAAATCAACAAAATTGGATAAAAAGTTGTATTTTTGCAAAATTTTTCATTGAATAATAATTTCTACGCATGACATTTAATCTATGCTTCCTGAAGCTAAGAAAATCTTGAACTCACTGAAGGCTACAATATACTACATAGAAGTTGTCATATAGATGAGTTGAGGAAAGCCTCGTCACTGGCATCACCAGACTTGGCATGGAAGTGCATAGCTGCAGACCGTGGCAAGGTAGTAAACACGCGTGGAAAATCAAGAGTTGCGCTCCTCGATCGACTAGGTGATAACGTAAAGGTGCTTGCACAAATTTCCGGCATTTGTCAAAGGAGTGGGAGCACGAGTGGCTGCTTACGGGTTGTCTGATTATCGTGCGAAGGAATCGCGAATGAAAGATTCCATGCGAAGAAAAGATTCCAAAGAATTACGAGATGAACTACTTCAAGCAGGTGGGCCTGAACAAACGTCCATTGTTAATGAGGAACTACCGAGAATATATAAGACAAAAAATAGTTAGATAAATATTTCAGTTTTAATTATTTGCAATTAATAAATTTATAGTTCTGTCTCGATGTCTCTTTTATCAAATCAAATTACTTCCTGTTAATCAAGAAATTTGTACATGAA